CACCCAGATCAACAACTGTCAAATTTTCAATGAAAAAGTTGGTAGAGAGAAAACTGACTACAACAAGAATCTTTGTGTTTCTGTCAATGTCAATTGATAATTCCGTTAACTCCCCGGCAACGGCGCCAAAATTTGATCACGCCCAACTATGCTTGTAAAAAAAGACTACTGCGGACGTTGCAAATATAACCCGAGTATTACGCCCAGGGTCGAATCCACAGAGAGTTAACCTATCAACCGCTATCTTCAGACCCACCAAGTCTTCAGAACCAGCTTCCCAAATATTCAAACCTCAGTTGAGTGTTCTTTAACAACTAGCTTACAAATAACTAAATGGCTGTAACTAAATAAATAAGGTTGTAAACAATTATGAGAAAAAGCTAAGGCAATGATTTCCCCTATTGATGGAATCCCTTCTATTTATGCTCATACAAATTTACCCACACATCTCTATCAATCATGAACGCTAATCTTGCCGCAAATCTCTCCCGAGTAATCACAGTAATCTACTATTGCACTCTCCCGAGATACACTAGCTTGCTTTATTTAGCACAATTCACTTTAGATTGCACCCAAGGCTTCGTTATTCCTAATCCCGCCTTTAAACCCGCAATTATAGATTCCTCTAATAATCTAGGAGTGGTGTTGTTCAACAATACCCTAAATATGCACTCTTTTCCAAGTTATGTACACTAAATAGGCACAGCTAATTGAGGATCCTGTCAATTAACTACAACGAACACGAAGTTGAACAAATAAAGATTAAACTAGCAATTTGTATTCACATAAACAAGAAGTTCATCACCCAATAGGTTCCATCAACGCCTTAGACAAGGAATTTAGCTACTCATGGCTATGGGAACATAAACTAAGCTTGAATTCATCATAAAATCAAAAGAAAAGAAGAAAGATGTTTTGAGTATTTTTTGTCACAATCTTTTTCCTTGCTAAGAAACCTAAAAAATCAATACATGCCTCTCTTGGGCGAAGTCTAATGTTTTAAATAGGGTTTAGGTCTAAAAATCCCGTAATTGACACTTTGGTCCCTGAAGTTTACTGCGCCTGCCGCGGTTCTGCCGCGGTCGCGGTAGAACCGCGGCCAAACACCCTCGCGGAATCTCAATCTTCTGCAGCTGCTTCCCACCGCGGTTCTGCCGCGGTCGCGGTGGAACCGCGGTGGATCCAGTTCTCTGAATCTTCGGCCTGCTTTTGCACGGGTCACTTATGAAATTTCACAGTTGGCCTCTTTTTCATCACTTTTGATCTCCAAAACTGCTCCTTAGCCGTCTTTACACATATATCACCTACAAATTATGAAAAACACTAATAAGAGCATTTTGTCATCACTTTTAGCATTAAAACTACACAAGAAGGTGATTATTTAAGGTGTGATTATAGTCAAATTCACCTATTATCAATTACACCAATAAGAAAATTTGCGGGATTCCACGGAAAGTATATCGCTATAAACACGCCTAACTAATATGGACCAAAAGAAGCTAAAATAAGACGAACACCTTTTATGACATAAAAATTGTGTCAACAAGCACATGCAACGAAACTAAAGTAAGGGATCAAATGTATGCCACCAGCACTCCAACGATATAAAAAAATAAATACACCATCACGGCTAATCCTATTTTCCATTAATTTGAACTTCATTCCCTTGAGCTTTAAATATGATCATTCCTTAAATGTGGTAGATGAAATAATAGGATTAGGGACTTAGGGTAAAGGAAAGGGTATTATAGAATAAGGGTAAAATAAAAAATAAAAAATAAAAAATAATTTTTTTTAAAAGTATTTCTGATCGGTTTATCGATAAACCGATAACCGAAGAGGACAAAATCGAAATCGAAATCGATAACTCGATAAAGAAAATTTCGAAATCGAAATCGAAATCGATAAATCGATAAACCGATTCGAATGCACACCCCTAATGCTTACGTCATAACAAATCGGGGTAAAGATCAAGGACTCAATTCGTTTCTTGTCATTATACTCCAAAAAACGAGGGAAATATCTGCATACGGTTAAAATCGGGCCCACCCGATTTTGCTGATTAACCGAGACCAGGAGGGTGAATCGAGAATCGGCCCCCAAAGCATCTCTAATTGAGAATACGAGGATAAGGTACCAAGTTCGGATTCGAGGTACCTAGCAAGATCGGAATCGGTAATGGTCGAGGTCGAACGGGACAGACATTGAGCAAGACCGAAGATAGCGTAATAACGGAAAGGCGAGATATCCATGACTGGTCAAAGATCATGGCGAAAATCTCAGAAAAGACCAAATCAAGGGCGATGGTTTAGCTAATCATGAGATTTATTTCTGTAATTAGAATTGTACCATAGATAGGGTTCCTCTACTATATTAGGAGGGTTCTAATCATTTTGTAACCACATTACATTGACACATATCAAAGCAATATAACACTTTTTTTAGCTTACACTCCCTTGTTCATTAGCTTGCCTTATTTTTACTTATTCTAGTATCAATCAGTTCGAGGACATTCTAACTCGAGGGCTGAATTCTGTTTCAACATTGGTTTGCTTTACTTTGTTGTTAATTTCTATTACCAATCTTCATATTTATTAATTGGTATTAGGTAAAATCGCCTATCCTTAAAACCACGTTATAAGTTTAATTGTTATCCAATTTCAAGAGTAAACAGATAGTAAGAGCATCAAAGTATATTTCATTATTTGGCGGCAATTAGTAAGAAATTTGGACAGGTTTTGTTTCTCTGAGTTTTCTTGCTGAGAAACACGAGTGAAGTTAATCGTGTCCTTATATTTTTGTTCTAGCTGGGTATTGATGGTTGAAACGGGAGTGCTTTTGCATGTTTCTCAATTCAAGTGTGTTGTAATCTTACATAGTTTCCTTATCATGAAAGATTTGAGTAATTGTATGGATGTGTATGACTCGTTAGTTATAGCTAGTTATACTTAAATCTTTTATTTTAGTTTTTTAATATATAAGCCTTACAATCCGAACTGTAATACGAAATATTTATCCGATCCAAACATTAAAATCCAATCCGAACAGAATTTAGTTTGGTTCGGATTCGGATTGCAATTTACCAAATCAGAAATCCGAAATTATAGTCCAAATATACCAAATCCGATCCAATCTGATCCATGAACATGCCTAGTCAAGAGTAAGTGATAATAGTTATCATCTTAATTTTTAATTATTAATATAAAATTATTTGATTCGGTGTAAACACATAATTTTACATTAAAAGAGTTACAAATTGGATTCATAAACTGCATTCTGCAAATAAATCGCTGCACTAATGCGAGTTATAAATCGCATTTGGTTGCTTTTACAATTTATGCATAAGCCTTTTACCCACGTGGAATTGTGTAGAGCGACGAAAATGGAGGACTGCTCCTTTGAATGATAGGTGACAATCAACCGCTGATCTCATCTACCCGCTTCTCAACTCGCAATCTTCACCGTTCGATTTAATATACGAAGTCCACTACAAATTTTCTTCTTATTCTTCTTAAACTTTCGTCATCACTTCACTTTCTGTATCTCACGTCACTCACTGAGAGCTCTGAACTCCAGTTCCAAACGTCGTCGTTTTCATCTTCCTTCTCTTCATCAATCATGGTGCTGAAGTCGTTTGTTGAAGTTGAAACGGAATCTCACTTCCCTCTCGAGAACTTACCTTACGGTGTATTCAAGCCTGAACCGGGTTCTGTACCTCGACCGGGCGTCGCTATCGGAGATTACGTCTTGGACTTATCGGCTCTTAGCTCCGCCGGTTTATTTGACGGTCCTTTACTCAAAAACTCCGATTGTTTCAATCAGGTCGGTTTTATCTTCATTTTCATTAATTTCTGAAGATTTATTAGTAAGTGTTCTATTTGGTTGCACTTTTAGTAAATTTCCTACCGTTAAGTTCAGCTTTTTGGTAATCTTCGTCGATTTTTGTGCTCTGTTTTCTCCTATTGTTCGGACGGAATTGTATAATTTCCTGACGGATTTGAGTTATATCCATTGATAGTGTACTGAATATTCACACGATCAGTATAGTTTAATTATAATAGTTTACTTAAAATCAATGCTATTAAATAAAGTTAGCTACAGTTACCTTTTAAATGATTTATTATTTGCACCGTTAGTGCATATAACTTGAACTCCTTTTTGACTACTAAGTTCAGTTTTAGATAATTTTCATTGATTTATGAGCTCCTTTTTTGTTATTTTCAACTGTAAAGTCCTGTCTTAGTTTTACGGAAGTGATATATTTTGTTTGATTTTCTTGTGAGTGCAATGTGTAAAGTTCCCCTTGCTCTTTTCTGGAGTTATGTCCTAAGAAAAGGAAGAATGAATGAAGAAGAAGACAAAATATCTGGGTACTATAGTGATAGCATTCCATTAGTTGGATTTCATCAAATTATATGTTAGCCACTATTGGATGCAATAGGAAATTTCCTAACGACACAATTATAAGATTTAAGTTATATACACTGGCAATTTAATTAAGTTTTTACAACATCCGTGTAATTTAACCTGTTGGGTACTAGCCATTTTTTTTAGGTTATCAATCAATGCTGGTATAAAATAAACTTATCTGCAATCACCTTTTAACCGACCTAATTGTATACACATTTTTTTACAATTCCATGCATAGAACTTAAACTCATAATTTTTGGCGAGCCACTAAGCCTTGTGTAATTGAGACACTCGGTACTGTTAATATTCTATGTTAATGGCAAGGTTGAGGGACTGTGAAGTCATAAGCTAACTTCTTTGCATTTGTAGCCTAACTTGAACAAGTTTGTGGGATTGGGGCGACCTGCATGGAAAGAAGCTCGGGCGACATTGCAAAAGCTGTTATCAGGTATGCGCTTCTTTTTCATGTAAGGGCCTGCTTGGATGGAGGTAGATTGTATGTATTACAAAGTCAAAAGCTTAAATCCTTCGCATCTGTTTGGATATACCTAAGAAAACTTGGATTGGAATATAAACTTAAATCACATTCTTCTTAGTCCCATTTTGGATTCAAATGAAACTTGACAAATGTTATTAAACACTTAAATATTATAAATTTATTAAATTTTAGACCTCTTGTAAATTTAAAAGTCTCCGTCCAACCTTATCCTGGCAATATCTGATATAGGATATCCTGAGACCCATTGAGTCTGTTTGATAAAAGTTGAAGTTGGGTTATTCTGTTTTGTCCTTGTGCAGCCACGGAACCAACTCTGCGTGACAATACTGCTTTAAGGCATATAGCTCTTCTGCCTATGGTACGGCATGATAATTGGATTTTTCACGTCTGTTAGTGGACTGGTGTTGTCTTAATTCTTGTGTTGTGTTGTTAATACTTCAGGACAAAGTTCAAATGCTTCTACCTGTCACCATTGGAGACTACACAGACTTCTTCTCATCAATGCACCATGCCAAGAATTGTGGGACTATTTTTCGTGGCCCTGAAAATCCTATCAACCTTAATTGGTATGCCGACAACACAGACACCTTAAAAATGTCGTATAAATTACCTTGGACGATATTTTCCAGCCATTTTCTTTTCTGGGGGAGGGAGGGAGAGGGAGAGGGAGAGGGAGAGGGAGAGGGAGAGGGAGAGAGAAAGAGGGGGAGGGGGAAGAGGAGGGGGAGGGAGGGACATCCTTTTCCTTGTACTTTCATTTCTATATGCTTGCTCATGGAATCTGATCACCCTTTTCAGGTTCCATCTTCCTATTGCTTACCATGGGAGAGCATCGTCAATTGTCATTTCTGGAACCGATATTGTGAGACCCAGGTGAACAGAAAAGTAGTTTTTCCAGTTCTTTCTAGAAATCTGTATCAGTTTATTTATGTGGAGAGAAATTAGGAAGATAACTGTGAGTGCTTAAGACATATTTGATGGGAAATTTTTTGCATTAATCATTTAGGCCGTGATGGATGTTTGTTCTTTAATCACTCCTTTGGCAGGGTCTCAATGTCGCAGCACCTAAGTGAATAGCTACATCAATGATCTTTAAGCCGCCCGCTCTGTGGCATTTAATTTATTGGAATCTTCTAAATTGATTCTTGGTAGTGAAGCATTTCCATTGCAGTGGAGAGAAATTAGGAAGATAACTGTGGAGTGCTTAAGACATATTTGATGGGAAATTGTTTGCGTTAATCATTTAGGTCGTGACGGATGTTTTTGATTTAAATACTCCTTTGGCAGGGTCTCAATGTCGCAGCACCTAAGTGAATAGCTACATCAATGATCTTTTATCAGGCCCGCTCTGTGGCATTTAATTTATTGGAATCTTCTAATTTGATTCTTGGTAGTGAAGCATTTCCATTGCAGCATGAGACATGGCACATGGTGCTTTTTTCTTTTCCTTTAAATGAATATAAAGTTTGGTACTTTATAAAATTAGGTCCAAGTTTGCACTAATAGTGCATGTTATGTTCATACCAATTCATATTTTGGTGTTTGATTTGAATAGATTATGTGTGACCTGAATTCTCCAACTATTCCATTCATTATGAATAAATGTTGGCATTTTTTTCCTAATTATGATTTGAATGTGTCTTCCAGAGGACAAGCTCATCCAACTGGTAATTCTGCGCCATATTTTGGACCTTCTAGAAAATTGGATTTTGAGTTAGAAATGGTAAGAGTTTATGGCTCATATTTTGGAAAATGCGTAGTCTTATATAAAATGCAAGTGTTCTTTCTGTTGTTGGTCCAACTTTGATTTATCTTCCCTTTCCTTGCTGAGTTGTTTGCTAATTCCATTTTGTAAACTGTACTTCTTTTTGCTTTAAGGCTGCTGTAGTTGGCCCTGGTAATGAACTAGGAACAACAGTGGATGTTAATGAGGCTGCAGATCATATATTTGGACTTGTCTTGATGAATGATTGGAGTGGTATGCTTAATAATACACTTTACTTTTTGAAGTTCTTGTGGCATGATTCTGTGCTGATAACTGATAAGCGACTATTTTAAACAGCGAGAGATATCCAAGCATGGGAGTACGTGCCTCTTGGTCCCTTTCTTGGAAAGAGCTTTGGTAAGAAATCCAATTGATTTTATTGCATGCATATAACTGCTTGCTATCTGAAAGTTTCTCATGTCGTTTTCTGCTAGTATTCTAGAAATATAACCGTAAGGATAATATCGTTTTCCAATTTTGGTCTTGCAGGCACAACCATATCTCCTTGGATTGTGACGTTAGATGCCTTAGAACCCTTTGCATGTGAGGCCCCAAAGCAGGTAGTCTTGACTTCTCAACTCTTAAAACCATGTGTTCCTCACCAGTGAAATTCATATTGATCAGAACTTTTTCTCTTCTTTCAATTGCAGAACCCTTCTCCATTAACATATCTTGTGGAGAAGACATCAAGAAACTATGACATTTCCTTGGAGGTATCTTCTGTTCTATGCTTCCCATGATAGGATTTGATATGTCTAGTACTTAATTGACAATGATTGATTTTCAATACTAAGGTAACTAGCTAAGACTGCATACATCAGACCCAATGTGGTCCGGTCCTTCCTGGATCCCGTGCATAGCGAGAGCTTATTGCACCGGACTGCCCTTTTTTATTTTTAATTGGAAAAGTTGGTGGAGTAGATGGAATCCTCCTACCTAGTGTTGATTTATCAAACAAAGGGAAAAAAACAGGAGATAATAGTTTGTTGTTGTGCTTAGTCAAATTTCATGGATCATCTGGATAATGAGTGTGGATTTTTTGTACAAGGTTCTCATTAAACCTTCTGGACAAGCTGATTCATGTGTTGTGACAAGAAGCAACTTCAACCACTTGTAAGTATTTTGCAGCTTGCACTTGCAATTTCATGGTTCTTCAGTTATCAAGCCAAAACATTTGGAATCTGTTTCGTTTTTCACCAGAATCATGATATCTATTGCTGTTAAAGCTTTCAGCAGGATAGTGGCTTCAATTAGTTTGATGGTGAAGATAATTGTTCATGTACCTGTGCCTAATACTCCACCCTGTCCCTCGAACAAGCTGCCCCCCCACCCCCACCCCGTAAAAAAAGTAAATTTGTCCAAGAACGTTTCGCATCTAGTTTTTGAGGATTCTGGTTCTTCAAATGCTGGATAGTTCAAGGGTAATCAGGTGTAGAAGGAGATGTAACAAACACACACACATGAAGTCTAAAGGAAATTTTACTACAATTTCTTTTTTCTCCATGGTAATGCTGAATGATTTTTCTGTGATACAGATATTGGACAATTACTCAACAACTAGCACACCATACTATCAATGGTTGCAACCTAAGGCCTGGGGACCTGTTTGGAACTGGAACTATCAGTGGACCGGTAAGATTTACTCCCTCCGGTTCACAATAAGTGTCCAATGTACTTTTAGCACGCCCATTAAGAAAATACTAAATTCTATACAAAAATACCTATTATGACTAAACTACCCCTAACTAAACATTTAATGTGAGGAGTAAGAAAACTTTTTAGTGATATGTACATAGGGGTTATTTTGTAAAAACAAATTGAATTCTTTCTTGATTACATAACTAGACACTTATTTTGAACCAAAATGAAAAAGTAAATTGGACACTTATTGTGAACCGGAGGGAGTACTACTCAGCAGCATGATGCCTCTACTGCTCCTTGCTCCAACTTTCCTTGTTTTATTGACTTGTCATCTTGCTATTGTTTACTGAATAATTTGCTTGTATTTACTATTTACTGATGTTATTATTTGTCCATTCATCTCTAGGAACCAGAATCCTATGGATGCTTGCTTGAATTGACATGGAATGGACAAAAACCTCTGTCTTTGGGTGGAACTACCCGTACATTCTTAGAAGATGGAGATGAAGTTACTTTCTTTGGTTATTGCCAGGTTTGGTTTTGGATACTCCTTTTCTTTCCTTCTTTGCCCATTTCCGTGCTTGTACCTTGTTGGCTGTAGCTGATGGTGTACACACTCAATTACAAGCGCTCTGGAAAGATAAGATATTAGAGATTCTTTTCCAGGGTCCAAAAAAACATTGGATGTTAGTTTTTCACCTAAAAAGAGTGAGTAGGAAAAAAAAGAATAAGAGCACGAAACTGCCACATTAAGTGGTGGTTCCTTTTTTGTCTATTTAGTTTTTGAATTCTGATTTAGAGTAAAATTTTGAAAATCTCCCTAGTGCAATGTTGGTTTCCTGTTATGGGATGAGCACTTGCATTATATTATGGTTTTTCAAAATTTCCATTGTCTCTAGGTTGATGTCGTCAACTGTTATTGACCACCCTGCTGTTTTCTCATTCTCATTTCTGAGAGAATCTCTCAATTTTTTTAATCTTTTTCGGTGCAATTCACTTCTCACTACGTGGAGAGTGAATTTTATGGCAGTGTTACAATTTGTTGCTTTTGGGAGATTCAGTTGTCCGTGTTCTCTTTCCATGTCACCTATCCTTTGTACTTGTCTTTTATATATAAATGCTATCTGAAAGACGCTTTTGAAATCTAGTGAATATGGCAAATGTACCTGATTGACATTTCTTAGAGATGCAATTGTGGCTCAACTGATTCTTGATAAGTCTTTAGACCTTGTGTTGAATTCCTCCCTCCATGCCGAAGTGTTATTATGTTATCCTTATCTGAGATCTTAACATTATGCTGAGATTGTTAGTCTGATACTAGTCGATTTGCAATTTATTATCAGGGCAATGGATACAAAGTTGGTTTTGGAAGATGCTCGGGGAAGATTGTCCCGGCTGCTCCACAATGAGCATGACTTTCTACATTGCCCTGCCCATGAGCAATTGGGAAATGTTGCCTGTTGTATACAATAATTCCAGGCTTGGTTTCTGATCAAATTTAGGAGTAGAATCGGAAGAAATTGTGGCAGACTCTTGGCTAGGACAAGTGAGCATTATGTATTCTACGTTATTTTACTGCAAACAATTACCAATTCTTGTTGAAATGTCCCTTCTTAGTATCAAATGAAAATAGCCAGTGTGCTTTTAATCTAGCATAATCTTATCGCAGATCTATTAATTTTTACTTTCTTAGTTGCTTTTGTTGTTCATTTAAATCGCATCTCGGGTATAGTTGTTGGTTGGGCATTTGGAAATTTATGTTCAACCAATTGTTGAACGTGAAAATACAGCAAGACGACTTTGGTTTATACACAAGGTGGAGGATAGGCGTCTCTACATTTAACCTAAAATACTTTTGTTCTATTTTTTCCCTCCCTAAAAATTAGAGGGGGAAAAAGAAAAGGATAAATACAAAATCATTGTGCACTTGGCAATGAAAGTATCGAATTAACCTTAAGATAATATGTTAGGTAGTTATAAAGATTAGAGAGTGGTCTTTGAGTTCAAATTTCTAACCAAGAGTTTTAGCTTGGTTACCTACTCATGCATGCACTATAATACTTCATGTTTATTGAATATTGAATTTTAAGCTTTGTTTTAAACTTTTGTACATTCCCATATAACTATAAAATAGGTTATCTACATTCTTTTCCAGGTTACTGAATCATACTTTGTCCAGATATTTACCAGTCAGTGGCCCAAGGGCGGAATAAAATTTCATTCGTCAGAAAATTATATTGTGTATAAGTGAAACTTATGTGTGTATATATTTCACAAAAATATTGTAGGTCATGGACTGACTTTCAGTTGTGACATTTTAACATTTTTGAATCCCTTTGTCTCCAATTCTGTCGTGAAAATAGTACGCGCTAGCTAGTTTTCGGATGGGTAACCGAGAAATAGCCAGCGTTTGCAAAGTCATTGAAAAATAGCCATTGTTTTGCTGAAGCACGGAAAGTTCCAGCATAATATGCGGGATTATGGAGCTCCTGCATATAAACTTCCAGTATATTATGTTGGAACTCCAACACATTATAAGATTCCAACACATTATGCTGGAAGCTCATATGTAAAAAATTCGAACTCCAGCATATTATATATGTTGGAATATTTTTGGATTTTTAAGGTGTTCTTGTTCAAATTTTATCTCTACATGAAAAATAGGTAAATTTCAATTACTCTTAAAATAATGACTATTTTTCAATTATCAGTTGTAAATCTGGCTATTTTTTATTTTTTCCCAATTCTGCGCCACCCTTGCTTGCAGTATTTGAAATATTAACTGACGTAATTGTTTAAATATTTGTTAAATTATGAGAAATTAAACGCTTAACCAGTCGAATACTCTCTAAGGTGGCTCCAAAATCCAAATAGCGAAATACCTATTTTCCAAAAGAAAAGGGAAGGAACAAGAAAATTGATACTAATATAGATGATTTAATTAAATAGACCCGGCAGACGGTTTTTTACTTTTGTGGAATTTGTTCAACAAAAAGGTGGTCTTATCTTATGGATGTTTTATGATGCAAATAAAACTAAAGGTTTTAATGGAAAAAAGTGCTTATATTTTAGCGTCTAGTATACAAAAACGGAGGTAGGATTTGAAGTTTATAGGTTTCAAAATTATCATCGAACTTATAGCTTGTTTTAGTTACTGAATTCGTAATTAAATATTTATATATATTCGATAAATTTTTTAATATATCTATTGATAGAGGCGGACCTATGCAATAGGTAGAGGGATTACCGGCAAAGTTCGATAAAAATTTCATATATACATATGGAATTTTTTTGTCCTTAGAAAATAGTGATATATTAATAGTAGGCACCCTATATACAAAGCAGATTTTGGTTAAATAAAAGAATGCCCCGCGACCTTCAAATCATGGATCCGCCTACAACTATAGAGTCTAGGCAAAAGCTACTGATTTCGTCCGTACCCGCAATTCTGCCCTATGTGAAGATCTAGATGGTTGAGGTAGGCTTGACAATTTTTTTTTGTCCTAAGCTTGACAAGTTGACTACTCAAAATTATTTAGTAAGTAATAGAGATTTTGCTTTGCTTGCCTGCAAAGAGCTCAATGTAGATGACGACATTAACACTTGGTGGGGCTTTAAAGCTTTGTATACATTAATTATTTTTTATTTTTATTTTTTTGTGAATAAACAAATTTATAAGTGATAGAATTAGGCTACCAACCTGATAGTTAACCTTCCAATATTTCTTTCCAACTTCAATCTTCTTCCTCTTTCAAATTAATGATTTTACTATTTTACCCCTACCTTATTATGTCAACTACTACCATTTCTTAAAAGGGCTAAAATACCCTTTTCTCTTTTCTCTTTGATATTAGTCGAATATTAGTATAATTTTTTCCTTTTTAAAAAAAAATTATATATAACTTCTACTTGCACATGAAAGTCGAAAAAAAAAATTAGAAATAGTTTGGATCATAGAAGCAAAAACTGGAAAAACATTTAATTAGCTAGTGGCTGGTACAATATAATAAGAATTAGAATCTAAAATCACATTTTGAGTTGATGTTCATTGAATTTAATTTATATACATTCGTTATATGAAATAATTTCTACGCTATATGATTTAGGTGTATTATTATCATGTTGTAAGAAGTAATCTGCCTTATTTTTCAAGTTACTTAGTGAGCGTTTGGACATAAAAATTGTAAAATTTCGAAAAAAGATGATTTTTTTTCAAGTAAAAATGATGTTTGAAAATTAGAGTTGTGTTTGGATATGAATATAATTTTCTGTTATTTTTGAATTTTTTTGACTGATCTGAGTGATTTTTTTAAAAAAAAATAGCCTTTTGGAGTTTTTTAAATTTTCAAAAAATTTCAAAATTCATCTTCAAGTGAAAATTGAAAATTTTAGGGCTAAACACTGATTTCGAAAAAATAAATAAATTCATGGCCAACCGGGCTCTAATTAGTCTCATTTTTATGGTCGATAAATGTTATTATATTTTAATTGACGTTATAGTAATAAAAAATCTTTTACATTATCAGTATATAAAAGTTAAAACCCATTTTCATACGTAAATAACACGCAAAACAAAAAAAAAGTTAACTATCGTGAGTTTTTTTAATGGATCACTAATGCATTTAAGCATCTAATTAATTGTTAAAAGCCTGAATTTAATTAAAATGTCGGTTTCTTGTTGAATTAAAAAAGCTCAAGGTTATAAATGTAATAGTAGTAGTAATAAAGAAAGTAATTGAAAAGGGCATGTGAACCATGCAAATGCTTCTATATAAAACCAAAGATGGTAGCGTTTCATTTTCTCTTCATTCCATCTAATATATATATAATCTTTCTTTGATATCAAGTTTTATTTATTTTTCATTATTCACAACATAAAGATTATGAATTTTTTCTTCAGCACATTTTTTGGACACAATAAAATTGTGAAGACAAAAATGAGCAAAATCTTTATGTTTTTCTTCTTCTTTTTCTCATTTCTTGTTCTTGAAAGTTTGGCTATAGAGAGAGTTTCTATAGTTGAATCAATTATTATGAGTGAAGATATGATAAAAATGGCTGGTTATGGAGAAGAAAAGCTTTCAACTGTTTTTATTCATGGGAAAGTTATTTGTGATAATGTTTCTGGCTGTAATAATAATAATATCAAGGATGAGATTTCAGAACTTGGTCCTCAACCTATCCCAGGTTTGTGTTTGTCTCTCTTCAATAATCTTTTTTTTTTTAATATAATAATAGTGTCGGGCTAGCTTACATACACCTCGCCTAATTTTACATAGTAGGGGCAGAGGTAGTGTATGGTTTACGGGTTTCGGAGGAACCCAGTAGTTTTTGCTTAGACCCAGTTTTATATTTGAAAATTCATTAAGTACTAGTATGTATAAATATTTAACTGCGAACCCAGTTCGCAGCAGATTCAGAATCCATAAACTTCAACCCTGGCTCCGCCTTTGTCACGGGGTACTTGTTACCTCCACTAACACAAATATCTGGTAATGCTGCTCGTCAAAGTTTGGACAAATGGAAAGAAATCATGTCTCCACTAGAATTTGAACTTGAGACATCATAGTTTTCAACCCACGTCTTTAATAATCTGTGTCTTTCTTATTCTAGTATTAATGATTTTTCGTTTTAAAAATAATGTTTTGAAAAAGTGTAGTGAGACAATCGTTCGTTTCATTAGGATCATGTGTCCAACTTGATTATAAATTGTTTATAGCAATATTCTTAAAAAAATTCTTAGCTTAGTACAAGGACATGGTTAATTATGTTACTGTATATTTGAAGCCAAGCTGAATATTTATCAAATTTATTTTACAGTGTATAGTACTAGCATTTTAATTTGCAGATAAACAATTAATAGTTGAAAGTTGAAACGTCCGAAGATTAAATTAGGACAGTTTGTGTTGTTAATTAAACAATAGGTAGATCTGTATCATCAATAAAACTCAGTTTAATGTTAAACATTAGAACGTTAGGATTCAATAAAACATTCATGGAGCATTAGGATTCATTTAATTTAGAACGTTTCTTTGCATAGAAATGACTTTCTTTTAATAAAGTCCTTAACAGTTATTATATCAGAGAGATATTGCATTTATTGATCCTATGCTTCTAAAAGTAAAGTTAAAAAAAAAAAAACAGAAAAGAGAAAAAAAACAGCTTGAACTGACTCAGGGCTATCAACGTAAATATCAGAAAAACGCCCATGTTTTTCCTTTTTTTTTTTAAAAAAAAAACCTCACGTTGCTTCTATGAAGTATTGGGGTAGAGGGCGACCTAAAAAGTATTGGGGAGAAGTGATCAAGCAGGATATGTCGAGGCTTCAGATTTTCGAGGACATGACACTTGATAGTAAGTTGTGGAGGTCGAGTATTACGGTTGTGGGCTAAGAGGTAGTTGAATCTTGCGTTACCTTGTACTGTTGTGAGCCTAGTCTGGTAGGGTTTTTCTCTGAAATAGCTAAGGGAATTGTCGTGTTTTACTATTTTCTCTTTTCGGTACAGGACCTATTTACTAGTCATCATTTTGTTTTGCATTTTTCCTTCTGCATTTTATGTTCCTATTTTTCCTATGATCTCTGTGGTGAAACTAATATTCTCTCCTTTTTGTTTTTCTTATTATCTTGAGCCGAGGGTCTTCGGAAACAACCTCT